AAAAAAAAAAAAAGATACACTCTGCTGTTCTGAAGGGGCATACTACCTAGTTAGTGGTTAGAATAAAAACTGTATACAATTTAATATAAGACATAAACTCTAGTGAGCAACTAACACATCTTTCCCTATTGTAACATCAACAGGCTCTGATTGGGAGAGAGAGGGGCATATCACATCCCAGTGCCTCCAGCATCTTCCAATTAAAAGCAATATATTTTAACTGTTCCAAAGTACTCCTTGGCTCCTGAAAGGAGCCCCACTGGCCTCTGTTTGTTAGGAGTCTGTTGAGGCTTGTTTTAAATGAAACATGAGGGGTGATAGGCATTAAGGAGGGCTCTTTGTGTGATGAGCACTAGATGTTATATGTAAGTGATGAATCACTAAATTCTACTCCTGAAACCAATTCTATACTATATGTTAACTAACTTGAATCTAAATTTAAAAAAACGAATGAAACATGAAGACAATATTCATGGCTATTAGTCATGTTTTAATTTGATTTAATTTTCTTATTGTTAATACTCAAATATTTAAATTGATGATAACGGTTATTTTCATTTTTAAACATGCAGATGGATTTTTCATAAAAATCATTATTTAGAATCTTGAACTTTTGCTCCAACAAATAAAAAGTTTTTAAAAGACTAAAATAGTCTGTAAATCAATTACTTACCCACTTCATTTCTGGGTAAATCTCCACTGAGTCAGAAAACGGGTGGTCAGACTATTGAGATGCACTCAAATGTAGCTTGCAAAAGTGTTCTCTTCCAAGTGGCAAATGATTTAACATGATGATGATAGAGTCATTTCACCCAATGAAAACGCCCCATATCCATGACTCTACTATCACTGCAGAATAAAATCTTTCTTAAGGGTTATTTTTAATTTGGCATAATTTTATGAAACTACTTGCTGTGGAAAATGGTTACTGGATTAACAGCAATCTCTTTACCAGGACACAGGAGGAAAAAAAAAAACATTTAAAATCGGTCCAGGAGAAATTGAGACCATGAGGTGGCACCTCAAAAAGATGGACATTGACTTCCTTATTAACTGTATGTTTAAAATAGATACAGAGATGATCAGAGATCTGCAACCCAAACTAACCAAAAAAAGGACGTGATTCTAAAATACTTACAGACAAATAACTATTCACATCTTCTCATGAAATGGCATATAATGTGCCCCCCTTTTGGGAAGAGTTGTCAACCCTTTGAGCAAAATTGATAGAAATTGAGATTTTTTTTTAACTCTCAACTTTGAATGGTAAAGATTGTCACACCAACTGAGAAACACACATCATCAGTATACTTGATGTAGATAAGTAGGAAGACTGAACAAAAAGACACCATCTGTTTCGTTTAATGTACTTCAAATATATTTTCATTTTTAAAATTAATATTTGCATATACACTTTCAGGAATGCATTGTTTTTATAAATAATGGCCCTTGTCCATTGTCTATAAAGGAGTTGCCCCTCCCTATGTAATGTATTTTATTATTATTGTGTGTTAAGTAAAAATTCAACCGAGTAAATTTGAATATTTAATTGGCTTTATTAAAGGATTCATGAATCA